GTTCAATTCCTGGTCAGGGCACATGCCCAGGTTGTGGGTTTGATCCCCAGTTGGAGTGTGTGTGGAAGGCAACCTATCAATGTTTCTATTTCACATCAATTTCTTTCTCTCTCTCCTCCCCCACTTCCTCTCTCCACTTTTTTTTTTTTTTTTTAATCCTCATCCGAGGACATTTTTCCATTTTTTGTACAGACAGAGTGGGAGGGAGAGAGAGGAAGAGAGAGAGAGGGAAACATCGATGTGAAAAGGATACATCGAGGGGCTGCCACCCACACGACCAACCAGGGCCGGGGACAAACTGCAACCGAGGTACATGCCCTTAGCGGGAACCGAACCCGGGTCTCTCCGGACCGCAGGTGGACGCTCTAACCGCTGAGCCAAACCGGCCAGGTCTCCACTTCCTCTCTCTAAAATCAGTAAAAACATATTTAAAAAATATGTGTAAATCCATGTTTAATTTCTCATGTAAGTCACTTATCACTGAAAACATCCTTTTCTGTCACATGCATGTAGTTTATTCTCAGTTGTCTTCCCATGAATTGTCCTCAGTGTTTTGGCCTGGTGCTTTTTTCAGTAACCACAAAGCTGTTTCCACGTGGAGCATTTGACTGAGATCAGTCTCGTCCACACCACTTCTTTTCCAGGTGGCAGCAGGTGGAGCTTCTGTCACAATTCATCATCATTATCCACATATTCATGGGAGGGCGTATGAATGGCACTAGGGGGGTTGTACATGCATATGAAAGTGTGGCTCATGCCTTTGAGAACACTAAAATAAAATTAAATCAGAAGCAGTCACCATATGCAATGCTTCATCTGGTAATATGGTGACCATTTGCTGATGCATTATACTGTATTTCTACAACATGACTGTTTTCAAATGGTTCAGTCACCTCCAGACAAGATGTGCAAACACAACTAAATGAAGAGCATTTTTCAAAAATGTTTTCCTATTTCTGCCACCACATTCATCTAATAGAAATATCTCTCAGAGTAAGTGTCACTTGCTTACTGTGGAAAACACTTTATTGGTGGCGATGTTGAAACATCCAATATGAATTATAGCCACTTAATGCAACAGAATCAAGGAATCCTATTCTCCTCTTCAAAATCAATAGAAAAAAATGGTACTTACACTAGGTGTTCTTTCTTCGTAAAGACAAATGATGATACATTTTGTTCCAGGGTAATTCAGATATTTCTCAGCTAGCAATGTGGTTTAATCCTCCATTTACCCACTCAGGTAAAGGGGTCCTTCTGCACCTCAAAGGCGAGAGGCAATATTTTTCACAAATAACCAACTATCTCAATGGTTACTATTGTTTAAATGATCCTTCAGAAGAGAGAGATAGAGAGCGCTGCATTTCTGACAGTAAAAATTCATGAATCTTTACCAAAATATTCACTTAAAATTGTATTCAAAGCTGAAGTGCTGGGTGTTTTAACATTTTAGGTGATACAGAGACTATTTTGCATTTATAAAATTATCTTAATAGATTTTTAAAAAACAAGTTTCACCATGGTAAGACTTTCTTGAAATTCTAAGTGTTCCTATTAATTTTACATCTTGAATCAGTAATTTTGAAAGCCTCATAGTTGAAAGTTTTTTGTTGAATAGTAATTCTGCTATCACAACAAATATTTACTCTGCATACATGTTATTATGATTCTTTATTGGTCTTATTAAAAAAACAATATATATTTTATTTAGTAAAAGCATAATTCTTGTAGGTTTTTGTGTGTGCAAAAATTAGCAAGCAATTGAACCCCACTGAACCATTCACATTAAAATGCAGTTAAGTAGGAATATGTATGATTACATACACACATGTAATAAGTTAGTACTGAGAACTATCAGAGATTCACTGAAGCTCAACTAAGGAGTCAACATTTAATATCTCAAGTTTTTTTTTAAATCTAAGAAAATATCTAAAATGTGGGAAGTACACAGACTTATTATTTTACCAGTGACTTCCAAAGAGGCAGAAAAAGGGTTTATGAAGAAGTCAAGTGTTATCATTCTCCTTAAGCAATAACTAAAGTTTCATGGGTAAATACATATTAATGCTGTATTATGGCTTACTTGACTATACCTCTTCATTATGCTACTGAGAATCATGTACTTAAAAAACAATAGAAATAGTAGCATCTGATTAAAAATAAGCAGATCTATCCTGGAACACAGTACTTTAAATATGTATTAGGTAAAGAAATGACTTTGAATTATTAGAATTCCAATAAAATTTCCACAACTGAAAGGAGCAGAAAGAAATGCACACATTTTAATGATCTCAAATAGGCCAATTTTGCTGATGTTAATGTATACTTGGAGGTTATTGTCATTTCTATTATTTTCTGTATTTTTTAACTGTTTTATACAAAAACAAAACAAAAAAAAACCCCAGTAAACCAAGCAACTAGTTAAAGAGTAATGGGCATTCACATTCAGACAATTTGTATATTCTTACAAATGCGTTTAATTATAACTGCTTCAAAATTATCCCAGATTTTCAAAAGTTTTATTTTAAGTTTGAAGACTAGACAAGGTCATACTGATTTTACAACATCCTACATGATTCAAGTATATATACAAAGAAAAAACAACAACATTGGAATATTACACAGCTTGCATGTTTGCAAAGGTTATTTGTGTCAGTTATATCTGTACTTGCTGACACATCAGAGGTCAGCAGTATTATATTTCATAATTTGTCGACTAGCAAAGATACAATCATTAGTACCCTAAGTCTTCAAAATTCACACCAATCCTTATGAAGTCATTCAGAAAGAGAAAGTCAACCCTCAAATTAGAATTAGTGACAATGATAAATGCTTTTAATAAGACACAGATAAAATGGAGGTGTTTAAAATGTTAATTTTGTAGATTATAAAACTGACATATTATAGTTACTCAATGTGATGAAGACTAGGGAATTCTGTGTATTCTGCTTATGAGATTTCACTTGTTTTAGTGTCAATTTAAATAGAATAAATGGACTTCACTTTGATGTCACCAATACGAGTGACACAAAAGCTATTTACTCCTTTGCAATAATTATTAACTTTTCCACAAGTGGAAATTCCTTTACTGTCATAAGCTTTGGGCATCATGGGACACATACATATCCCATTCATCATGCCATGTTGGTGATGAGCATTTAGGGCAGAGAGAAAATGCACAAGCAAGAGAACTTCATTTCAATGTATTTCTAAAAGGTAACAAACATACTTTTAACAAAGTCCCTTTGAAAATATTTGTTTCGAAAACTATCACTAGAATAAAATTCAAAGCATCATAAGAAGCCATGAAAAATTTTGAAAAAGTAAATCACTACAAAGAATTACTCATAATTTTTAAAACATTCTGTTAAGAATGAAGAATATGCATTATCTTAAAAATAAAACTAGCTAGAAATTTGGTGGGACAATAAAAATTAAAGAAGTAAGGGCTACTGGCTAACAGTAAGTGTGTGTATATTTTTGGACTTAAGTAATTATTTGCAACATGACTTTAAAATTTAGCAAATTAAATATATTTAAATTCCTAAGTTTAAAGTTATCACAAAAAGGCAATATCGAGGACATGGCAATTTTGTTTTTGAAAGATGCTGAAAAGTAATCACCATTTCAGATGCTTCAATTTCATATTAAGAGCCTGAAGTAGCAGGCATATGGGCACAGGACAAATATGTGGCCAAACAATCCTAATTTTGCTCTTATTAAAAATACCATTATGATTGACTTTCTCTTTAAATTCTTCACTATAATTGAAGATCACTTCATATATACATCATTGAGAAATGCTAATAACACATGGACAGACAAGACAGTAACAGTCTAGTGGCTTTTGTTATGCAGGACAAGTAATAAAAGAAAAAAAACTTAGCAGTGTTGCACAGGAACACAACATTTCCTACACATACTGTCTTTCTTTTCCAGGACCCTTAATTTAAAACTCCAATAATTCTGTGTCTAAGCCTTGTAAAATAAATATTTGTAAAGCTTATAAATTAGATGTTGAGGACTTTTATGGAGGCAGTGTGAGCTTTAATTTGAGAAATATGTCAATGAAACCTCCATTATCAATAACAAATTGTAATGATAATTGCTTATTTTTCCAGGACCTTTGAAGCAAAATAAATAGAAATCAATTTTCATCTTGAAAATGGTTTATTACTTTGTCATTAGTAAGTACTTTTCTTCTCACAAATAACTACACAGTATGCTTTCCTGGGAAACTACCACCAGTTTGAAATCTTAATAAAATTCTGGTTTTGCCCTGGCCTGTTTGGCTCAGCGGTCCAGAGAGACCTGGGTTCAGTTCCCGCTAAGGGCACGTACCTCGGTTGCAGTTTGTCCCCGGCCCTGGTTGGTCGTGCGGGTGGCAGCCACTTGATGTGTCCCTTTCATATCGATGTTTCTTTCTCTCTCTCTCTCTCTCCTCTCCCTCTGACTCTATCTGAACAAAAAAATGGAAAAATATCCTTGGGTGAGGATAAAAAAAAAAAGTTCTGGTTTCATGGGAAGTGCAGAGATGAATAACGACATAATGAGAATGCTTGGCCAAGCTATGCAGTGCTATGGTAACACTTGTTTGATAATTTTTTTTTTTAATAGAGAAACAAAGGATTCATCAATCTATTATGTTAAAGTAAAGATTAAGGCTATATAAATATCATGAAAATGAAGATAGACATTTAGGTTTAAGGGAACATGTTACAATTTTGTTCTTGTTTATTTTGCAAAATGTAGTATTAGGTTTTTTATAAAGGATGTATTTGCAATTTATATAGTTATGGCTTCCTTCAAAAATAGAATTTCAGATTGTATTGTTATTAACTATGATCAATCTACTAATTTTCAATCATGTTCCATGTATAAATAAACATGATTTTCTTTTAGGCAAATAATAAGTCAGTTGGAAAAAATATGAACTCATTCAGGCAATATACAATATAAAGAATATAAAATAGAATGAAAAAAAATCACATGATGTCTGATTAGAAATAATAAAAGTAAAATGAAAATTATAATGTCAATTAGTACTGCAGGTTACAAATTCTTCTTCAAAATTTTGTTATAAACACTGACAGGGTTTGGTAGGCACAGGGAAACAATTAGGATAATGTAGAGTCACTATGGAAGAAAAAAACTTATTGCTAACATTGTAGTATCCTTTCATGAGACCTCTTGCTTTTATTTGATAACCAGGAGATTTCCTTACCCTTGCTACTTTCTTTCCCTAATATATTTCAACCAGTGTGAATAATTCAGAAAATCGTGAGAAAAGTAATTCACAGTTAATGTGATGTTGCTTAAGAAATTTAAATGATAAAAATCAAATTAAACTATTGAAAAGGCAGGCTTAGACCTCCTTAAAAAGACAGTTAATCGCCTACCATAATTTGGGCACTTTTTCAAGAAAAACCCCATTCAGTTTCCTACAGATTGCACACAGTTCATTCCATGGAGATAGAGAGAGAGGGGAAATAGAGAAGAAGGTTGCGGGTGTGGGTCTCCTCATTCCTCCTCTGTGCAGCCCAGCAGCTCGGACCGCAGCGTGATCCTCCCATACCAGGACCAAGGAAGGATTCTTATGTGCCGGGCATAGATGGGAGGGTCGATGACGTTTTTTCTGTGGGTATCATTGTCAAAATTTCCCTGGAAGACCTAGTAAAGGAGAATGAAGAATGTCAATTATATTGCTTCTTCTTGGAAATTATTTTTATTATTTTCTTGTTTGGAGTCCTCCCCCCACCCCAAATGTGAGATTTGATAACTAATCATGTTATGCTTATAAAAGTATATTGCGGCTTCTTTTTAATGACCATTTTAAAATCAAATCGTCAATTAATGTTTAAAGAGTTAAATGAGATGAAAATTTTTTGTGTAATGCAGGAGTACTTCGATATATCATTTTTGTCTGCCTATCAGTTTTTTTAATGCCAAAATATTTATATTTTTGCTTTTGTCATAGAGTGATGTTGGTTAGGCAGTTTGCTGAACATGCTCTCTTCAAAGAGGAGATGCTGAGATCTAGGTTGCTTGCAAATTACAGCCACATGTAAAACATGTGGCCTTCACATTCACAAGGGACAAGGGGAAAGAGAGCTGTTAGATTGTGCAGATATTTGAAAGAGTTAGGTGGGGAAGTGGCTCACACCATTTCTGGATACATCGTATTGACCTTAATTGATTATATGACCATGGCCCAGTCGCAAAGGAGGAAGTGGAGAGGAGCACATGGGTATTTGGTGAGCATAACAGTCTCTATCACAGGGTCTTTTGCTCACTTCTCACGTAGAGAACAAGAGTCACCCATCTCCAAGAGAGACAGACAAATCAATGTTATTTTTGAACTACATTTGTGTTTTTTTGTTTTTGTTTTTGTTTTTTGGCTTCTCTCTCTAGTAATTCCTGGATCCATACAATGCTGCTTGATCATTGTGGCTCCTGGTGCTCCTGTTGGCATTGCGTGACTGGCCTCCTTTACTGTTCTTTTGTTTTGAACCTCTTTGAGCATTTTTTCCCAAGAGATCTTTATAACAACTTTGAGAAGTGTCTACTTCAGGGAAAAAATATCAACATCAGAACACTGGGATCCTGCCCTGGCTGGGTGGCTCAGTTTGTTGGAACACCATCCCATACACCAGAAAGTTGCAGGTTTGATTCTCCATCAGGTCAAATACCCAGGTTGGGGGTTCAATCCCCGGTCGAGGTGCATATGAGGCAACAGATCGATGTTTTCCTTTCTCCCTCTCTCCTTTCCTCAGTCTCTAAAAAATCATATTAAACCACATCCTTGGGTAAGGATTAAAACAAAAATACATTAAAAAACAACAACATTGGAATCCTAATAAGAAAAACATTAAATTTAATATTATGTTTGAGAAATTCATGTATTTATAATATTCAGTCTTAAAGACTGTACTATTTTAAACCCATAGATTCTAAACATTTATTATTAAAGTATTTCTAACTATTTTATATTTACAGTTTTGTTTCATCACAATTAGGTTAGTAAAAATCCCATCAAGTTTTCCCTTTTAACTTTATGAGGCATCTTATAATTAGAAGATAATATTATTTCTGGCTTGAAATTGAAACATGACTGGATGGCCAAAGGGAGACCTGAAAAAAAATCTCCCCCAAGGGAGACAAATCCTCCATCATCACATGACGATATTTAGCCCATATCTTTGAATATCCTAAAATTAAAGTGAATGTTTTAAGAACAGCTCTTTAGAATTAGTTGATTCAGTCCCACATGATCACCAAAGGTTCCTTGGAAAGAAAAAAATAAAGATATTCTTCTCTAAAACATCAGACAGCATGACACTAATTAATACAAGCAACAGACAACATGGGGTAATCTCTCTGCTGGTTTCATGGAAAGATTACGAGGGGAAAGACAAATGTCATTGACATCTGGTGGGGGAATGATTTTTCAACTTGACACCAAATATATCGCAAAGGCTATCTTTAAATAAATATTTGCTGAAGAAGGGAATACTGAACTATGCCAAGTCTAGAATTTACCCTCCAGGTATATATGAATTCACATTCCTATAATAGAAATTTTATCTTCAGGAATGCTCTGACTTGCACTGACAAAGGAGGAACTAACTCTGGATTAAAATGTGCTACTAAGTAACAGTGTCTCTGGTAGGAGAAGCTCACATGTCTAGGACATACCACATAAACAGTCAACACATTCTTGAAAGAGGTTACCATCACAACAGCAGAACATGCAAGAGTATTTGCTGTGGTTTTCTGACATTCTCTCTGACATGTGATATTGGATTCAAATGCTTCACTGAGATTGTGGTGTTAAAATTTAATATAGAATCGAAAATCCAATTTCATAGCCCTGCTAGAGGACTTAATGTATATCTTTGGAATAATAGAGTTTAAATTCATTAACTTTCATCACAAGACCTATGGCAGTCCAAAATATAGTGTTATGCCACTTGTTGGGAAGGAAATACAGGAGGAAACAATTTTCTTTTAAGTTGCTAGTCTTCAGCACATGATTCCATAAGAAACCATCAACCCACAAAGCAATAGTCGACTTATTGGTCATACTTGTCTCCTTATAATAAAGAATACATATAGAGAAATGATGTCAGCTCAGAAACTGTACACAGCTAGGACATTTCTGATTTGTTGTGTAAAAATCAGAAATATTTAAATGTTCATTAAAAAAAATAAATCAAGTTTCATAAAATGGGATGATTAAAAACAAAAACATCATCAGAAAAATAGCCAAAATCTACATTAGAATCATCCGAACCATGCTCTGAAAATATAGTCTTATTTTCAGAGTTTTCTCAATAATGATACAGCAAAGAACACAAAGCACACATTTGCAAATTCCAGCATGCCATCTTGTACTTGCTGTGCAAATGTGGCCCATTTGTTTTTTCTTGTTTCTAGCACTAGGGAGATCCTGCTTAAGGATGCTATATCAATGTTTCACCTGGCCAAAAAAATGCAAACACAGTATTTTTAGTTAGCTCTATAAAATCTGTAAGAATTCTAGAAGAGTGCTTCACATACACACTTTAGATATTTAAGCACCTTAGTTGAAATCAAGTCTGAAAAGGCTGATGGAGAACATTGGATCTTCGAATAGAGGGGGAAAACATTATATGTGAGAAAGAGGCTTCGATTTAGAAGTTTGTAAAAAAGAGTTTGCACAAGTTTCAGTTTCAGGAGACTTAATTAGCTGATGACAAGTGTGCTGATGTACTCAAACATGGTAATGCTTAGAGGTCTCTCAGGCGTCTCCGAACATATGGGGCCTCAAGAAAAAGGCACTCAAGATACTTTGGAGAGGTTTGCACAGTTACTACCTAGGAATATGTAGGAGAAAATGCAGCTGCCTCGATGCGGCTGAGATCTTGGATTTTGTTTTCTAATATCAATTCTTCTGTGATACTAGTTAAAATTCAAATCAGATTGAAGTGAGGATTCAAATCTCAATGCAGACAGACTATCTGATAAAATAAAACAGTTAAATGTTGCTTCCAGCAACTTTTACTATTTTTTGTAAGATGAGATTTGCCATTCTTTGGTAGAAACAATGGTCTATGAAGGCCAGAGTAGATGTCATCAGTAGGAGGTGCCAAGGACCATGGAGGAAGGAGAGTCCGAGAGCTGGGTATAGCTCAGCTTCGCTTAGCAGTCATGTGTCATGCCTCTGCTTTCCACAAATATCAAGAAATCCTTTGGGGATTTCTTGCATATACTACTTAATTAGCAACTCATTTACTTTGTGATGTCATTTTTAAAATTTGTCCTAAACGTAACTCATTAAAAGTTTTAAAGAGATTCCCATTGTTCTAATCTTTTGGAATTCATGTTCATATTATCCAAGTAGTGAGTAGGTTTAAGCATTTTTTTACTGCTTCCCTGAGCTCTGCAAGACTAACAAGTCTGTATTTTAGCAAGGTCTCAAGTGACCATCCCTTTGACCTTTAGGTCACTCCCTTCTAGATTTCATTATTTTTCTTCTGATATGTGGAGACTAAAACCCTATGTGGGAGTCCAGATACTAAGGAAATAAAAGGGTTAAATAAAGCTTTTTCAAGTTTTCTCTATTTGCATTTGTCTTGTTAACAGTTTCAAACATAGTGTTGGCTTTATTGACTATACATGTATACTAATCCGATGTCCCTAAGAGAGAGAGAGCAAGGACAAAGATAAAAAAATCCAGTTCTCTAGGGCAGCATGGTATCTGTGTGTGTGTGTGGGGGGGGAGTGCAAAAGCTAAGAATTCTTTATTTAGCATATATAATTTCAATTATCCTTTTCATCTAGTATGCTTATAAAGAAGTTTGAAGAAAACAGTCTGAGAAACTCGGTTTTTATTTAATTCTACCCATACAACAGAAGAAACTGAGGTTTGGAAGAGCAGGCATACACCAACTCCCCCTCCAATAGCTCCAGCATGGAACTCCCTGCCTATCCGTGGTAACCTCGGTATAACTGAGCAGGTATGTATTTAGACACTTTGAAAGTCTGTGTTTTTATTAGACTAAAATATGTCTCTTTCTAAGTTCAATCTACTGATCCTAGTGATTTATTCTTAACAAGCACAGAAATGTAGCTTCTCCAAAAAACAAAAAACAAAATAATAAAACATACTCAACAACACTTTTGACATATTTAATAATAACTCACACAAACCTTTCAAACTCAATTTAAATGCTACACTAAACATTCATGGTTCTTAAAAATTCCTCAAGTAAGATGCTTTTCAAACTACTCTTGATTTCATTCCATTGACTTCCCTCTGGTTTACCTATAACTCGATTAAAGTGTAGTATTTGTTTGGACACAGTATGTAGTCATTACTGAATGGCTCAAAAGAGTGCACCTTTGTTGTAGATGCAATATTTCTATCAATGCAGTCTAAGATTTAAAACTATTATACTACATTTTGGGTCATTACTAACTGATTTATGGTCAAATAAACTCTGAACTTTTCCATAAAATTTCTCTTAAGCCAAGATTGTCCCAATTTTTTACTGTAAAATAGATTTATAGTGTATGCAGAAATTTATATTTATCCTAACTTCATTTCAGTTTATGGAATTCATGACATTTTAAAATAGCAATTTCTAGTTAAAATAATGATCTATTTAAAAAGTAGTGGAAATTTAGTG